GGTTACCTCTCCAAATTAATTTCTTACCAATATTTTTTCCCTAGAACTAAAGCATGACACATAGTGGGTGCCTACAAAACATTGCTGAATAAGAGAAAGATGGACTTTTAAGTACACTAAAATGAAAAGATCAGCATGAAACACAGGCACAGTGTAAACAAACATATTGACTATCAATTTAAAATGCCTAGGTTCAAGTCCTAGGTTTATCAGTTTTCAGCTGTGTGGCCTTAATGCAGGTTAGTAAGTTTTATGGACATTAACTTTCTTATCTAAAAACCTGAATTACTAATGTTAACTGTATCATAGAACTGTTATGAAGATTAAATAATCAATTCATGTAAAGTGCTAAATCTACATCTTACTCACAGTTAGTATCAATTAATAATGTTACACAGCCATTTGGAGCTCCTATGATTTTTTTGTTTTGCTTCTTTATATTTTCACCACATTGTGTGTCATAGGTGCTATTTTATGCAGTGTAATCAGAGAGGGATGTATTGATAAGATGATTTTAGTAGAGATTTGAAGACAATGAAGCTGCAGACCATGTGGTTTCCAGGGGAAGACTATTGAGGCAGAGGGAATACTTAGAGAAAGTGCCCTGAGGTAGCAGCATTCCTCAATGCTGTTTATAAAATAGTAAGATGGTACATGATGTGGTAAAAATATACAGAGAAGAAAAAAAAGAACATAGTAGTCTTAACATATTAAGACATACTATGAATAAGATGCAGACCTAAGCTCTCTATTTGTATTAATCATTTAATCCTCACTGTGAGACGGGCATATTCTTGAATGTTCTAGAGAAGCAAAAAGGCCAGAGACAAGAGAAAAAGCTATGAGAGGAGACTTAGAGATGTGACAAGGTGGAGTGGGAAGATAGAGAATGCAGACCCTCAGGGACCCCAGGAAGAACTTAAATAACTCTGAGCGAGCCAGGAAGCTGCTGGGAGGCTTGCATTAGAGGACTAACATGTTAGAAGAATCACTGGGTAGAAGCAGAGATACATCTTCTAGGAGGAAAGTGTAGTCATCTGTGGAAGAGAGAGTGATGGCTTTGCACAGTAGTCAAGGGCATATATTAGTGATGGAACTGATAGGCTTTGCTGCAGAGCTGGAAGTGGTGTGTAAGACAGGGCAGTCAAAGATAAGCCCGAGCCTTCTGGGTGAGCAATAAGATTGGGGTGCTGTTTACTGCATTTACTGAATGACTGTGGAACAAGGAATTTGGTAGCCAAGGGGTTCAATCAAGAGTTTAGTTTTGATATCCAGCTGGAGATACCAAGTAGGAAGGTGGATTTAAGAATGTCAAATTCTAGGGAGAAGCCCAGGGCTATTGAAAACTCAACATTGACTCTCTAGAACTCAACCTTGTGCAAGACCTATAACGACTTTGGTGTCACTGAGATGTGTATGTTGTGGGAAGGAGGATCCTTCCTTTTTATTATTCTTCTCTGAGTTTCAATTTTAAGATTTTTAGTTTTATCTGATTCTTCATTCCTGTTGAAAATCCAAATGAAAGAAAATAGGTAAGTTGTGTTGTTTGTGTGCGGGGTGGAAGAGGGGGTTGTATTGTTTTGTTTTTCAGTTTTCACTCAAAATGATGCTGCTTTTGGAAGAAAACAAGATAGAAGTTGGGTGGCCACATAGATGAGATCTGAGAATTGACAGTGATCAGAAATTGAGAGATATTGACAAAGATTGACAGTGACTGACAATTTGTTGTGAAGAGGAAACAAGAAATGATTAATACTATGTTTTATAACATGAGACCTCAGAGAGAGGATCTAAAGATAAATATTCTTGGAGAGAGGATACAGATGCAAAAAGACATTAGCTGAAATAATCCAATGAGTACTAGTTCTAATATTTCAAAGACACTCTATTTCTAATGGGAATATTATTCTTCTTAGCTACTATTACTCTCAATAACTCTTCTTGTTAACTTTCATTGTTTCTAAATAGCACTTAACATGTCAGATGCTTTTCTTGGTGCTTACTATACATTACCTGATTTGATCCTTACACTTTGTCATGGTGTTTACTGGTATCTGTCATCAAAATGAGGAAACTGAAGATCAAACATATGTAGTTACTATAATATAGGTGGTTTGGGGCTAGCATTTTCCAAAGTTACTTCAGAGAATATTAAGTATTATGAAAAGCAAAGAGTGGCCCTAGAAGATTGAGAAGTGTTAGATTAAATAAATATATGCATGCTTTGTAGCAAGACTTTTCAGCTCATTAATATGCTAATATAATGTACCTCCCTAAAAGGGCTTTAGCATGTGGCTTTTCTTAGTTACTTGAGCACAGAAACAATTTCTTTACTGGAACCTCTTTCACATTTAATACAAGGAAGAACATATCCTAGAGCATGCCTGTTTAGGTCAACTTAGCCCTGGGTCATGGTATATGTCCATAACTTTGTTTGTCTGTGGCATTTTCTTTCAAATTGTTTTTCTTGAGCCTTTCTGCTGTATCATACTGCTATAGGCATTTGATGCTATCATGTATTTCCGATTTCTCACTACATCCTGGACTTGGATGTACGTTTTGATTGATGCATTGTTGTTGGTCATGCAAACATGATTTACTTTGAACATGATTTTGGTTTGACAGACTCCCAATGTGTTTGTCATATGCATAGAGCCTCACCATACAGGATTTTCTTTTGGCCAACTTTAGCTCCAGACCATTACCCCAGTGCCATGGTCATTCCTTAGGCACTGCAGGCTTTGTGCCAGGCTGGTTTCTACTGACCTAACTCTGTTCTCTTTAGCTCCTTCCGTCTTAGTCCAATACTTGAAATACTTTCTATATCTGATGAGACTTAGTATGAATCCATTGCCTTGGACATGAAGACTTGGTGTCCCTTTCTGAGCATGAGTTCTCCCTGCAGGACCATGAGTCATTGCTCTTTGTCTCTACTGGTCCTAGTCTTTATGTGGTCAGATAACATTTCTCTTCTGGGCTCATTGCTGGGTTCATGCATCACTGTCCATTCAAAACCCCTAGTTCCACCTAAGAGTTTTCATTTGGCTCTTGTCAATGTCTCTAGAGATTACATATTTAACTATGAACTTAAATCCATGGTATGGAACTCAGCTATCTGTAGTCAAATGCCTCAGGTAATGATTTGCTTTGACTTCTAGGCATCTCTTAATCAAGAGCCTCTTCAGCAGTGTCATTTGTGCTATTGTTACAATGATACACTGATAACAACGGAAGCTTCCATTTTATAAATGCTTACTGTGCCAGGCTTGTGCTAAGGTCTTTACAAACATTATTTTATTAACAGCTATATGAGATTAGGATAATTACCCCAATTTTTCACACAAGGAAACTGCCAAGTTAATAAACTTGCCAAAAATGATGTCCCTAATTAGTGGTAGGAGCAAGATTCAAATCCAGATTTTCATCCTCAAGTTTGAATTCCTAAGATAATACCATCTCCTACATACATTTAGGACACTCAGTCATGATGCTTTACCTGAATTTGTTTATGTTTTTCATAATTTAAGTTGGAATAATATTTTGACTAGAAAGCAAAAATTACTTTGTATCAGACCTAATTTGCATGTTCATTTGCTAATCAAACATTTACTGAGGGCTAACTAGGTGTCAGACTGTGCTTGGTGAGGGAGAATAAAACATTTAAAAGAAGACATAATCTCTGACTTCAAGAGGCTACTGGTTTTTAGGGAGACAGAAACATAAACAAGTATGTAGAGAGTATAATGATTACTGCTATAGGCAGTCATATATTTAATACTTATAGTCCTTTAACTCAGTAGAATGATCAGTAGAACATTGTAAGCACCATTACTTAAGTGTCTATAAACCCAATATATCTCAAAAAAGTAATGCTTGTGCTTATTGTTAAGTACATTCTAGTAAGTGTACAGTTAGATGGTTAAGTGACACATTACTTCTCCACGTATACAGGTGATGGTGCTCCCTTTAGTGAGTCATTTAAAATTATCTAGATATGTAATGAATTAATGATTATCCAGAGTGGAAGGATCAGGTTACTCATGGGGATCAAAGGCAGGATCAGGAAATACCTCCTTGCAAATTATTTATGCACCAGGCTAGACTCACCACCAGGAAACAGGAGCTGAGAGGAAAGGCCCTGGGTGTCTGCAAGTTTTGAACCAGCAAATGTTGTCATTAGATGTGTTGGCATTTATCCTTGGAAGGATATAATAAATAAGTAGTTCTACATGTGGGTGCTGGAGAGGCAAGATGGTGCCTCAGGTAACACGGCTGACAGCCAGGCTTGGAAGGAAGGACTGTGGTGAGGACTGTGCCAAACACTTTCAAGAATGCAATTATATTAGGAACAGGGAATTTGGTATGTGAAGGCTCTTCACTGCATTTCCTAGGATGTATAAAATCAAAACTATACTTGCTAAGATGAACTATGTAGCCTGTATTTGATCTGGTTATTTTTCTATAACTTAAGTGTCTGTCCAAAATGTCAGCTTGTTTTAGATATTCTAAAGAGAACTAAAGAGAGAGATTTGTATTCAGGTTTGGAACAGAGAGAAAGAGAAGAGCTTCCCTGCTGCAATAGGGCGGAAATAGGTAAAGGACAGGAAAAGTTCAAAGGGAGAGAAACAAATTCATGGTGTGACAGCAGGAGTAGCTAGGTAGTGAAAGAAGAGGAAATATAGAACATAGTTATGTCCCAGAACATTAATCTACCTCCGAATCAAGGAATTCAGTAAGAGATACTAGGTCTCTAGAATTCTCCAGTAGAGAAAAACCATGTTTGTTTGTTTGTTTGTTTGTTTTTTGCTCTGTCGCCAGGCTAGAGTGCAGTGATGTGATCTCGGCTCACTGTAACCTCCGCCTCCCGGGTTCAAGCGATTCTCCCTGCCTCAGCCTCCCGAGTAGCTGGGACTACAGGCATGTGCCACTATGCCCAGCTAATTTTTGAATTTTTAGTAGAGACTGGGTTTCACCATGTTGGCCAGGATGATCTCAATCCCTTGACTTTGTGATCCACCTGCCTCGGCCTCCCAAAGTGCTGGGATTGCAGGTGTGAGCCACCGTGCCCAGCCAACCAACCATGTTTTGATTGTCTGTCCCATTCGTGAGTCTAAGATCCAAAGGACTCCAGGAGAGGTGTTGCTAGCAATGAACAAGAGTTAATGGAGATAATTTGTTTGCTATCTGCCTCATCAAGCAAGATTGTACTAGCCTTTTGGAAATTTTACAATTTTCTCCCCTTCATTCCTACCCCAACGTGCTCTAAAAGTTCTAAGGGAATATGTTGAACTTTCTAAATTGTGATGTGACAGAACTACTGAAACTTGTCAGGAAAACAATTCTGTTTTAGATAGAAGACAAATTGGTAGCCACACCCAGTTTATCAAGGATGTTTCTATCATTCTTACTGTTTGCTAAAAGAGAAAGGTAATTGTGGTTGATCATTCAAAACTTTTTATTACGAATAAATTGTAGACTCGCATGTTGCTGGAATTTAGGGATACAATAATACCCACACAATTCTTACTCTTCATGAATAGTAGTGGAACAAAGAAAATAATTCTAACACGTGAATATGAGTCCTTTGTTTTTCTAAGTTCAAAAAGCTTCAGAGTGTCAGAGTAGAGACAACTTACCAATACTGGCCATCAAGGGTGATCTCTTAGGAAAGCTCACATCATTCTACACATGTATTAGGCATCATGGACTAACAATGAATTAGCAAGATTTGAGGGAAACAGAGATGGGTCCCCGCTCTAAATTTTCTTCACTCTTTAAAGATCTAAGGAACTCTAGAAATTAGCATAACCATGAGGCAGTAAATGATTATTAGCTGTGATGTGTGGTAGGGATAAGTTTATAGGCGGTCAGAGGAAAGAAAAGATCTCCAGGGTTATCAGCATGGCCAATTTATAAATGACTTAATTTGGACACTCACTCTGCTACTTTGCCATCTGCTTTAAAAGAATTTCCTTTCATTATGTACAACACCTGATCATGGGGTTGTGCGTATATTAATGGATGTCTTTTCTTTTAGGGAAGCCTCATGTGCTCCATCTCAAGTTGAACTCCAGAGTCATTCGATGTTCATGCTGTTTGCCACTTGGCAATTCTAATCTATCAACAGATGTCTGGATAGAGCACTTTTGTGCATAGAGCCTTTGAAAGAAGTCAGAGCTAAGGAAACTCACCAGCTCCTTTAGAGACAAAAACTCACAAGGCACACACCTTGTGGTCCGATCTTTATGGCTGTGTGGGAGAACTACAGTGTGATTTCAGACTTTTTCTTGGCATGTGGAGTCTGTTCATCCTGAAACTTCAAAATGTACATATTTCCCCCAAATGAGATGTAAGTCTGTTGAGTTAATTATCATACAATTATAGCAATGGAAAAGAAAAACCCTAATCAAACGTGAACAGCTTGTCTAACTATTAACCAGACCATGGTGAACCATTACTTAGCTCTGACTTGCATGATCCATCATAGACTTTTGGCCCTCTGTGAACAAATGCTTAAATGAGTTCATAGTCATTTAAAACTGAAAGGCCTGACTGCCTGGGTTCTTGTGATTATCTTTAAATTGTTCAGTCATTACATTTTACTGGCATGAAGTTATGGCGATCTTCCTCTCTTCTCCATGTGATAGGAAAGAGCCGGCAGGTCATGGTCATGAAAGACATGGCCTTGCAGGACTTTGACCTACTAAAGTGGTGATTTGTTTTATAACATTTCTACTTATATCCCCTTAAGCTGCTAAAAATACATTCAGAAGTCAAATCCCTCTGAATAAGTTTTCTTTCTAGGAAGAGCCAGAGCCCAAAGCATTGTATTCAGGGTGTCTTTTAGAATTAGTCCAATTTGCACTATTTTCAGGATAATTCAGCTATTGCCAGTATTATAGCAGTCAAATACAAAATGACCCAGGTGCAGCATGGTGAACTTTTGGTTTACAGTTTTAAATTCAAGAGGCCACTTTCGATTGATACAAGGACATGAAATTCGGGTTTATTCTGGTTGAATAGGTTGAAGTTTAGGACTGGGAAGGGAAAAGAGGAAGGATAAAGCCAATCAGATGGTATGACATCACATTCAAGACTAAGTAATGAGACTGTGAGCTCATTTTATCCTCAGGTACACTAGAAAGTAGGCATACTACACAGTAACAGCCAACTTTTTGTTCATTCTAACTCTTACCACACCAAGCTTTCCTTGGTGTCAGCCACAGGGGTCACTAAGCCATCAGCTGATCAGGAAAGGTAGGAACTAGAATTTTTTTTTTAAATATAATTTGTAAAGTTTATTTACTTTTTTTTTTTTCTTTTTTACTTTAAATTCCAGGATACATGTGCAGAACGTGCAGGTTTGTTACATAGGTATATGTGTGCCATGGTGGTTTACTGCACCTATTGACCTATCCTTTAACTTCCCTCTCCTTGCCCCCACCTCCCAACAGGCCCTGGTCTGTATTGTTCCCCTCCCAGTGTCCATGTGAAACTGGAATTTTCTACGGTACTATGTGGTGTCACGGACTCAGTCAAAGGTAAGATTGATTGAATGTGGAACAGATTCATTTATCTTGGGCTTTGACAGAGTGAGACGTTTAGAAATGGAGGCAAGTAGCTGACTTTAATTTTGCAAACACAGGCTTAACTACTGCAAATGAGCTTTTCTATTGACAAAAAGGGTCTAGATAACATTTACTTTGTTGTTGTTACTTCCCCATAGCTAGAGTCTGGGCAATGGGAGGAGGAGAAAGAAATGTGGTGAAAAGAGAGGGTGGAGATGAATCTCTGCTGATGGTGTTGTTGAAGCTGCCACAGCAACCACCAATGGTAACCACCCTGAAGGCACTCTTTGTAAACAAACAGGCTGTTCCCATGAAAGTATCAGTCTCATAAGACCAATATCAGCAAGCGTATTGTGCGTTCCTTTTTTTCCAGTTCAGCCTTCTGCTAACAAGAGAAAGGCAAACATCTTGGGAATAAGAACCCAATACGGGTGAATATTCCAAGATGCTTTGAATGTCAAGACTTGCTTTCCAAGCTTACCTTGCTTCCTGTAAGCATTTTGAAAAATTGAAAATAAGCTGTGGAAGAGATCCCAAGTAGAGGTTTGCTTGGGGAGAAGATTCCAGTAAGAATAAAGTTTATGATAAAGATCCCAGGCCATGACTTGGAAAAAGTCAAGCTTAGAAGAACAGGAAGCATACTAACAATTGATGTCAGCTTGTGATGCCTGCAACAAAGAAGAAGGTAGAGGGAAAGAAAAAAGAAAGCCAAAGGACTCTTTAGAAGACAACGAGAAAATACTAGTTAAAAGGGATAGTCTTAGGCGGGGAAGAAGTAAGCGTGCCCAAGGATTCCAGGAGTGGATGTCAAGGGCAATGAGAGAAGTACCATGGCATTAGAATGCAGTCTGATCTCTCTTTTCTTTGTCTCAGGTGGAATTTATCAAAGATAGTATAATACATCAAATTTCTACAAGTACCTCACAAAAACATTTCCCCAAGTAAGATGGAGGATAGTGACTTTCTGGAGAAACAGAATGGCTTGGTAGAGGTCCGCCTAGAGAACTACTTCTTCCAAAATGAAATTATAGGGCTGTATGGGAAGCTAATAACTAAAAGACCATGTGACTGTTTCATCTACAACATGAGATGGGGCTAGATGGGAGTAAGATTGTCAGGGGCTACCTCTCCGCGTTCTAGGAACTCATCACTGTCTTGTTTCCACCACTGTGACCCCAAGGTTTCTTGCATCTGAATAAAATAGGCTCAAGTTCAGCTCATCTGGATTATATGCCAAGAAAAGGTGGGCCAGCATGGAATACAGGAGCTTCCGGTGACTTTTTGGCATTTTTATGGCCACTATTTGCATTTCTTTTCCCCTGATAAACCCATTGGTCAGAATTGAGAAAACTATCCTTGATGAACTGCGTTTTTAAAAGGATGCATTCCTTAATCTAGCAACTAAGCAGGGGTTTTGAATAGGTGAATCAGATTCTGAGAGAGGACAATTACATTTTGGGGATGATACACACCTTCAAAGTATTATAGCATTGGATGTCTGCTGCCCATTAGATTTCCCCAGCCAATGCTAATTGCCATAAACTCTAGCAAAAGTTTTTCTCTGTGATATTTTGATTGCATAATAACAGAAAAATGTGTTTAACACAGGCAGGTAATAGCCCTTCTCCTACCCATCTGTTTGTTGTATGGCTCCCAGCAGTACCATCGGGCTAGTCCCCTTAATATTACTGTTTTCCAGAATGCTCCTCATATTTCTGGATGAGGTATGATGATTGAATTCAACCTCTTTCTTTGTCCTGAATAATTAGTGTTTTGTCTATCTTATTCTGTTTTCCTTTAATAAATAATATTGCTACCAAATACTTCAACTTCCTTATTTATATGCTGTTATCTTTTAAGATAGCTTTGTAATAAAAGAGTGATAGCCATAGCTACCATATATTGAATACATTTTGCCAGGCAGTGTACTTTGGTTTTATATGCCATCTTGTTTTATCTTTATGGAAACTACGCAAGGTAATTATTTGTATGTCCACTTTACAGATGAGGAAACCTGGGCTTACAGAAGAAGTTAAGTACATTTCCCTGAGTTTACACAGCTAGGAAATGGCATAGCAGAAATTTGAATGACAGGAGAATCTGAGTCTAGAATGTACAGGCATAACCATTAGAGCATGTAGCCTTCTTTTGGCAGCTATGATAAAAGTTACTAAATAAGTATTCACAGAATTGAATGGAATTAAAAATTGAATTTAAAACCAACCATCTCTAGACCTTGTCTTCAAGATAATATTCTTTCAGCACTTTATGGATCTGCTTTTTAGTCTAGTAGCCAACATGAGGTGTGGATTCTGAAGTTGGACAGACCTGTGTTCCTGATTCCTCCACCTCTAGCTGTGTGCTTTTGTAGAGTTTATTCAACTTTTCTGAATCTCAATTCATTCATTTAAAAAATTGAAATATTTTATTTATAGTGTTGTGGAAAGGATTATATGATATAAACAATGAATGCTCAGCAACTTGGCATAGAGTAGGTGTATGAAATACTTTCCCCTCTCTGACACCCACATGGCACTATCCACTTCTTAACTACTTAGTCTGAAAACCTCCTGGAGAGAGATATCAAAAGCTCTCTTCTTTGACCCTTAAGTCTGATTATTTCCTTTTAAGAATGTGGGATCTCATTATATTTATCTAATACTTCTACCTTCTCACAGGATACCTCATAAACGGTGGTGCAGTCCACTGATTTTCTCTTTCTTATGTCTTGATTCATGACTAGGTTGAGTCAACATCCTAATAAGTTATTATTACCATCTGCAAGTGACAGAAGCTTTTTAAAAAGTTAACACTGTCTATTGATTGCTGATGCATCTTTTCCATCAATAGACTTTCTTGGTACTGATCAAGGGCAGTAGTGACAATTTGTGGGGCCATTACAGATGAGTTTGGATTTCACTGAAATCTGTAGAGCAGAGCTAATGGGATATATTGTTATCCGGTAGATAGTGGAAGAGTTGCTGTGGTTTACTTAATTTGAAGGGACATTTCATAATTCCAGCCAAATTGGAATCACAAGTCAGATAAAATCTAAAAGAAAATTACAGTGATCTTGCCCTCTAGAGGCTTTGAAGGAATAAATTTTGCAGCAGTCGGTAATGGCTGCTGATGAAGTTTTTTTAGCTCAAGAAGGAAAGCTACTATTTCAGGAGTTAAGAGTTTCTGGGGTCCAATGACAGAAATGATCAATTCTTCACAAACTAAAAAGACTTATGATTAAAAAGGGTTAGAAATATTAGTGTTCAATGAAGCAGTGTGAAATTAAAGGACTTTTAAAACTATTTTAGGAGGGCATAATGGGTATGCAGAAAAATGGCTTTGCCCAGTGTTAGGGTTCTAATATCAAGTTTAGAGGATAAAAAATATGAAGTGCGGGTACTGGGTAATTATTCTGTGTCAGGAACTATGTTAAACGTGTGAAACATTATGCCATGTAATTCTTGCAACAACCTTGAAGACAATATCAAAATTTAAAATCTATAATTATGAAAGATTAAATAATTTGCCCTACGGCATATAGCTTAGTATATTTCACAACTTGAACTTGAACTCAGGATTTTTCAGAAAAATGTGTTCTCTTTCTATCATGTAAATCTTGTTTCTGCTTTATGTCTTTCCACCCTCTAGTGTTACCCTCCTTCCTAGTAGCCTCATTCTGGTGAGATTGGGCCTCTGTTGATTTGCTTGGGATATAAATTAGGCTACCTTTATGTGATACCAGGTATCAGTATTATCTCAGAATGGCTAGGAGTGGAGCTTAAGATTAGTAGAATGTGAGTGGGGGATAAATTTGAGGAGCATATTTGAATTGGGGACATCTCCAGGGCTACTTCTGGGTACATGTGGGGACTGTGCTCTGCTCTCTGCTTTGTCTAGGGATCCTCATGTATAGAAGAAGAAGACATCCATGCTGAGTATGAGCTAACACATGATCTCAACAACAATCACAAGGCAATAACCACTGCCCCAGCATTACTCTTTGTAAGGCATTGTCCTCGATGTTTTAGCTCTGATCCACTTAATCTTTCATGTTTCTATTTTTAAGATAAGATGAAGGAAGTTGTGAAAGCCAACACTTGGATCAAAAAAATGTATGGAATCAGATATCTGGAAAATGACAGATCTGAGATCTGCGTCTGTTCAACTCCAAGGGCTAAGCTTGCTCCATTTTAAATTGTTCATTGGTTAATTCCTAACATTTACCTACTGTGTGCTAAGTAGAGAGGATCAGAGATTAACAAGGAGCAAGTCATACCCTCTGGATTTTATATCTTTTATATTTTAGTCAATTCTCTCCTACTGCAAAGAATGCATGCCAGCTTCTTGAACAGGACTGAGTTTTTTGCTTTCTTCTCCTCTGTTTTGCCTGCACAATACTAGGTAAGCAATAGTCATTCAGCAATGCTACATAATTGGCTTATCCATCTCAGGATTGCTCCTTCTACCATCTCCCACTCAGAGAGGTGAATCATGACCGTTCTACTTGGAAACATGATTCATCTCTCAATGCTTTGGAGAATTCCAACTTTGCAATTCCCTTGCACTTCTATTAACAGAAATGGAAATGAGTGTGGTTAAGGGTAAAATGCCAATTGGGCATGAAAAGAAGCTGGAAAGCTCAGCAGGAAACAATGTGTCATAATCTCACAGGTCTTTTCCTTCTTGGATGTCAGTACTTTTCTCCTACTGCTAGTTCCCTCTGTGCTGTTGCCCGAATCGATAGAGAAAGGCAAAAAAACAAAACAACAGCAACCAAAAGACCACAAAAAGAAGTTTTAGGTGATATAATCTCATTCAGCTCCCCTCCCCTCTGTGGGTTAGGAGATGAATTAAGGATTGGGCTACCAGTTTCCTAACTTGGGAAACTGGGAAGCCCAAACTCATCTTGGAGCCCTTACATCATGCTCTCGAGAGGTGCCACACGCCGAGAAAGCTGTGTTTCACAAAGAAAT